CTCCTACACAGCTATGGAAAAATGAGAAAAACGAAATCAGCGTCTTGTTCCATCGACTTAGTCCGTTAAAATGGAAACTGAATCTATGGATGCAATGCAATCATGAATACTTGTGTTTATCATCAATGAGTAACCACACTTTGAACATTTAATGTAGTCAACAACATACACACCCATACTAAAGGAGATCAAGGTGTTAAAGGAGATCGACACTTCAATCAGTACCTAGGAGACACAAACGAGATAAATCAAGATGGAATTCAATTATAAGCATGAATTTTTGAGCAGTACACTAAGAAATAATTGAAAGAAGTAACAAAAAGAAAGGAATGGAAGCATATAGAGCAAAGAACAGTAAATCTGAAAGATGGATTAATCACCAAAAATATACCGGAATGAGAACTAGGCACAACGTGCCGACTAGTCAGTTGCTAGTACGAACTGAAGTACTGACGGTCGTCGAATTCTTGTCAGCGACCTCATCATCATCTGATTCAGCTTGCCGAAACGTGTACGGCACGTTATCCAGGACACTCTCAACCACATATTTGTACTTGCGCCGACGTTTTGGCAGTTGTTTCGGGGAAGATGTCTCGTCGCTAAAGCATGAAACTTGCCGTGATGTCATAAAAATTGGTGATTGCGTAAGAACAGAATTTAGTACCAAATTCACGAGTTCAAAAGATTCACTGATTCTTGCGAGAAGTTTCAATGAACCAAGTTATGCACCACTCAAAATAAGACATTTACGTCACTAATAAGTTGTGTGGAATACACAAAATTATTTTGTCTGAGTAAACTGACTAAGCTCAAAAGGACAGCATTTGGCACGGCACAGCCTGTAGAATCAAAAGAATAAACACAATCGAGTGTAACAGAAACCTTTTACGATTGATGAAGTTTATACTGGTAGCTATTAAAAAAGGCCAACACGACTAGCATACCTACTCAAAACCGTGACAATGCTTGCACCTTCCAATTTTCTTCCGAAAATACCCTGAGTATATTTTCAAAAGGATATCGTGCACATAATTCGAAGAGATTGGTTGTCCCTTATCGCAGATAGATTAACGAAGGTACGCACGGGCGCACTTATATAGACGTTACTAGGAAGCTTCTAAGTTGTCCTAAAACCCTACAGAATAGCACTTACCTACTTGTATCAAGGAACAAACTATTATGCTTTGGATGTGTCCCACAAACGATTTTATATTTTAAAAATGTTCAATATATACTTGAATGCACCGTCATTGTATCAAGACCTTACATTCACCTATTAAAACGTTAAGAATTCAGACTTACTTTTTCTATTTCAAAACGTCATTTATGCATGAGCAACTCTGGAAATCCCCGA